TTCATTGAGAAACACATAGACAATAAAAATTATAAAATCTTGACACGCAGACACCTAAACAACATTGAAATAATATTTTGGTTAGTGCATCTGGCAACCTTGGTTTTCTTTTATGGAGGTCATACCAGATTTACTAGAAGGTCTTCTTTATCCTAATCAATAAATGGTCTTATATCCATAGCCACACCTGAACTGAGTCAAGTACAGCATGCCATCATTAGGGACTTCAAAATTTTACAGCATGCTTCCTGACTGTACATGTTCAGGGACCTGAGGATTGTTTTAGGGATCATATATGGCAGTAAAGTCTAATGGGAAGAGATGAGGGCATTTTTGAACAACACTCATTATCTCTTCCCATTGGAATACAGAAACAGCTGAGTTCTCTAAACCTGTTAAGCCCCAAATTTCTGAACATTCTCTCATTTTAAATTATAGAACTGACACATAAATCAGGCAGAGATAATTTCTCTGAGCAAAGTTCTATTCACTTTTGTTTCTCCTGGAAAAATGGCCCATTCTTCTTTAAGCTCATGATGTTTGTAAACCTTTCTAAAAGCAGCAGGGTTATGAACAGCTGAGCTTTGTTCAGCTTTTTCCTGTAGTGTCAAAATATATGTAGCCCTATAACCTACTGTTCCAAGTTTTCACGGGCAATGGTATAACAAGGCTTATTTGCTTTCTACCTAACTGTATTTTTTTCCTTGCACTCTCCACTCTCCCACTAAGTTAATGCCCAATTTGGGGATTTTAATGGCAGTTCTACACGTCTACATACTCATTTCTTTGTTAGACTAAATTGTTGTAACAGAAAAGTCTACATACTCATTTCTTTGTTAGACTAAATTGTTGTAACAGAAAGATTCAAAGTTCAGTGGCTCAAATAAGATAAAAAAAATTTTTTTCACAACCATCCCTGAGGTCGGTAGTGATTTATAGTCAGTCTGCTCCAACATGATCATCTAGAGACAGAAGCTTCTCTAGTGTTGCAGCCTACGGATTCCTAAGGCACTCTTTCTTTGCATGGTAGCTGCTAGATCATCACTTTGAGTGCATTCTACCAACTGAGGAGGGGAGAGTGCACAAGTCCAAAATGAGGAGTTTGTCATTAAATCGGAAATAACCTTAAGGTTACTACCCTCCCATGTGTGCACTTCCCACGTTTCCTGACTCAGTCACAGGGCACATCTAGTTGTAAGGATAGCTGAGGAATGTATCCATTCACTGGGCAGCTATCTGTCCACGCAAAATGTTTTCCTATGGAAGATATGAGAAGTAATATTTGGACTAGCAAAGGTATGGACTCTGACAGAGTCCACTATGATTATTATCTATTATTTTGCATTATCTATTATTTTACAAATGTCTTCATGTCCTACTTTCCCCTTTTCAGAGTAGCTAAAAGTTAAAACTCCCTCTTAGTGTGTATGTATCATTTATGACCCACAATAACTGCAGTTGCTTCCTCATGGTCTCTCTCACTACTTTCTTCTTCCTGTCTCTTACCTTCATCAATTACAATTAAAATTGAAATCCAGTGAGAAACGTAGTTATGCCACTAGATAGTGTTTGGACCTAGTGGTCTCCATACAGCACCGTGAGAAACACAAGCAGGCTTTTTCAGGGAAAAATTATTGATTGTGACAAAGGGAGAGAGAAGCTGCTGTTAATGTCCTCAGTTTCTCTTCATCCCTCTAAATGGGAATGCTGCTTATTAAATTGTATTCTCATGACTGCCATTTCTTGATCACCCAGGGAATCAATGTAACAACTCACAGGAATTTGCTACATATCAGTGAGGGTTCTCAATTAGGTTATATCACTTCTATTAAGCTAAGGATGTGAAAGAAAAGATAAACACCCAGCCACTAGTCAATGGCCTTAGTCTCAGGGATGGGAAGAAAAACATATTGCCATGCATTTTTCCTAGATAATTTGTGTATGAACATTCTGGGCAATGAAGATTGGGCTCAGTAATCTTTTTTATTATTATTATGTTATGTTAATCACCATACATCACATCATTAGTTTTTGATGTAGTGTTCCATGATTCATTGTTTGCGTATAACAGCCAGTGCTCCATGCAGTACGTGCCCTCTTTAATACCCATCACCAGGCTAACCTATCCCCCCACATCCCTCCCCTATAGAACCCTCAGTTTGTTTTTCAGAGTCCATAGTCTCTCATGGTTCATCTCCCCCTCCAATTTCCCCCCCTTCATTCTTCCCTTCCTGCTATCTTCTTCTTTTTTTTTTTTTTAACATATAATATATTATTTGTTTCAGAGGTACAGGTCTGTGATTCAACAGTCTTACACAATTCACAGCATTCACCATAGCACATACCCTCCCCAATGTCTATCACCCAGACACTCCATCCCTCCTACCCCCCACCACTCCAGCAACCTTCATATCAGTGAGGTCATATGATACATGTCTTTCTCTGATTGACTTATTTTGTCAGCCTAATACCCTCCATTCCTTCCACAGCACTGCAAATGGCAAGATTTCATTCCTTTTGATGGCTGCATAATATTCCATTGTATATATATACCACATCTTCTTTACCCATTCATCTGTCGATGGACATCTTGGCTCTTTCCATAGTTTGGCTACTATAGACATTGCTGCTTTAAACATCGGGGTGCACGTACTCCTTCGGATCCCTACATTTGTATCTTTGGGGTAAATACCCAGTAGTGCAATTGCTGGATCGTAGGGCAGCTCTATTTTCAACTTTTTGAGGAACCTCCATACTGTTTTCCAGAGTGGCTGTACCAGCTTGCATTCCCACCAACAGTGTAGGAGGGTTCCCCTTTCTCCGCATCCCCACCAACATCTGTCATTTCCTGACTTGTTTTAATTTTAGCCATTCTGACTGATGTGAGGTGGTATCACACTGAGGTTTTGTTTTGGATTTCTCTGATACTGAGAGATGTTGAGCACTTTTTCATGTGTCTGTTGGCCATTTGGATGTCTTCTAGATAAGTGATACCATAAGACGAAACAACATTAGAATAACTGGGATCCCAGAAGAAGAAGAAAGAGAGGGGCAGAAGGTATATTGGACCAAATTATAGCAGAGAACTTCCCTAATTTGGGGAAGGAAACAGGCATCAAAATCCAGGAGGCACAGAGAACCCCTCTCAAAATCAATAAAAATAGGTCAACACCCCGACATCTAATAGTAAAACCTGCAAGTCTCAGAGACAAAGAGAAAATCCTGAAAGCAGCTCGGGACAAGAGATCTGTAACCTACAATGGTAGAAACATTAAATTGGCAACAGACCTATCCACAGAGAGGCTGGCAGGCCAGAAAGGACTGGCATGATATATTCAGAGCACCAAATGAGAAAAAGATGCAGCCAAGAATACTATATCCAGCGAGGCTGTCATTGAAAATAGAAGAAGAGATAAAAAGCTTCCAGGACAAATAAAAACTAAAGGAATTTGCAAACAGGAAACCAGCCCTACAAGAAATATTGAAAGGGCTCAGTAATCCTTTTATTTTTTCCAACTACTTTACACTAAAATTGAATTAATGCATTATCAGTTGCCTCCCAGAAAGATAAAGAGGGCCAAACTTCTCTCTGTCTCTCTTTTTCACCTCTAATACATAGACTTGTATTTTCTTTTTTACTTCTCTTTCCTTACTATCAGGGAAATCTGAAGTGTTTAATATAATGAGACCTATGAGATTTCCCTGAGGGATAATGACAACCACAAAATTTTAGGCTTTTGTATCTTTTCTTTCAACCTAACCCTTTGGTATCTATGGCCCACCCTCTCAGTCTTTATACAATTTTGGTATTTGATATTAAGCCATTTTCTCGCCACACTTTATATACTTAAAAGAAATTAGTAATCTTGACATAACTTACAAATTTATTACATATATAATATATAAATCAGAAATTAAGATTCAAGCTGAAGACGTAAAATGAAGGAGCTTATTTGAGGGAAAAATATAGGCTCTCATAAATTATCAAAGTGAATATATTAATATAAGTAGTTAATATTTATTCTGAGGACATCTCAGAAGCAACTGGAATGGTTGAAGGAGCAGGAAGTGGTCAACTGTGTTAAACGGTACTAATGTAAAATGAGGACCACGTCTTGACCACTAGATTTGAAATGTCAAGGTACTGACAAGAGCTGTATCAATGGAGACAACAGCCTGATTGGACTGGCTTCAAAAACCTCTATATAGAAGGAGAGGCAGTGAAAAGAGTGAACAGTTGCCTCTTTTCAAGAAATTTTGCCCGAAAGGGGCAGAGAAAGGAATAGTCATTAGAAGGAGATGTGGGGGTGAGGGAGGACTTTTTCGGGATGAGAGATATATGAAATGCATGGATGCTAATGAGAATGGTGCCTTAAAGGAGAAAACTGTTGGTGAAAGAGTGATGAGAATTGTAGTGAGGGAAGACTCGGCGTAACTTGAGTAAGAAATGGAGGAGGGACACCTTCTTGTCAGTTATTGAAATGGGGAAGCATCTAGCAAAATATTAAATAAAAATAAATCACTTATCTATTTGAGAAGGGCATGGACATGCTGTGGAAGGGCTAGCGGGGAGTGTAAATATAATTTCAGTGTTTGGAAGTGAAGATGAAATGGATGCATATTTCTTAACGTAACCGCGTTAAAAGCCATACACAATTGACCAGATTGTCATCTTATATAGCACTTTTTCTTGGAAATAGATCTTTATAACTTCCTTCTTGACAAATTTTGAAGTATTATACTTGTGTTTTAAGGGAAATTTGATTTATAAAGTTGGAGGTTAGAGATAAAGAAGTTCTGAGGTGGCATGAGAAAATCATAGCACTCCTTGTCAATAACCTGTATTTTTCTTCCTGAATATTTTTTTAGGATTGTGTTTGATGCCTAGAGGTTCTCGGGATATTACCTTAGCACACATTTTGCTTTCAAATTCCATATGTGTTTCTGGGTTGATTCCTCCTGATTACAGTAGCATTGATTGCTGTCTAAATTTGTTGCAGTGTCCCTGAATACTATGACTACGGTCATGGAGTAAGTGAGGATGCCTATGACAGCTACGGTAAGACCTTTTCTTTACTAAATCTGTGAAATCAGAATATCCATCAGTCACTGACAACTCAGAAATTACTTCTAGCTTTCTACTCCCGGTTTTTACAGAAGGCCAGACTAAATTGATTTATGTAATTCAAGGGTGAGATCTGACGTACAAGAGCCAGTGCCAGAAACCTGGACAGATCAATTTTGATCAAAATTTCAAAAGCAATTAATCACAATCATAGATCATTTTCAACAGCAACAGTGAGCATTTTGAACAGTGTCTTATATGTTCCACTGTGTCCACTGACTCATTGATTTGACAACAATGCTATGTCTTTCCTGCTGTAACAAAGATCATTAGAGTAATACACAGTTAAAATATTTTAAAAGGTTTAAGGGCCGAAATTGTGGCTTTCAAGTTATTTTCTTATAGCTCTTAGAAGTGCCATATAACGCTTGGCATAAGAATTTCATAGTCAAATAGCATGTCAGTCTATAAAATTAATTTCAAAAATGCAGTTTAATTAAAATACTACTTAAAATTAATTGTAATTCAATTCAGTAAGATTTATTGAGTAACCATGACATATCCATATAGTATATCACTTTCGAAAGGTAGTTTCTCATTCCTTAAAATACATATGCAGTGTCACCGGTTGGCCACCTTGAAAAATAACCTTTATTTAAATGTTTTCGGTCCCCAGTTCTTATTGAAATAATACCATAGCCACTCTGTTTCTCTTTATGGGGAGCAGTAGAAGAGATCATGAATGGTGCCTCTGTGTTCAGGGCTCCACATTGTGCAGGTGCAGTGCTTTATAAGGATGAAGGAAGGTCCAGACCCCAGGAGGAAAGGAGGAAGTACACCCTCACTGAAACTCGTTACCTAATCGCCTCACTTCTCCAGGTGGACTACCATGAGGAGTAGAAACAGGAGTAGAAAATAAAAATAGTAGAAAAACAAACCGCCCCCACAGTGATTGCCATCCATAAGCTACTTACTTACATATATCTTCTCATTTATTTTTTATGATAAATTGAACTGTTAAGTGTTTTTATCTCCATTTTATAATGAGGAAACTAAACAAGAGAGGTCAAGTCAATATGAGAGCACAGCTGTGGGACGCAGCTTCTGTTTTTATAGTTTCACCAGTGGTTGGAATGCTATCACTTGGGGCTACCACACATGAGGCACCTACCTATTATGGCTCTGTACTAAGCAATTTATCACGAGGATTAGAGATTATGGAAATAATCCTCATTAAACATTCTGTGTATATCTACATAATCGAATCCCCACTAGAATCATAGAGGGTACACACTCATATTGTCATCTGCACTTTACAAACAAGGAACTGAGGCTCAGAGTTGTCAGTAACTTGCCTGAGTTAAACAATTCGCAAATGACAGAGCAAGAATGAATATTCAAGTGCGTCCGATTTTGTTGTTAGGAGTCGGGGCAGAGTTCAGTGGACCTAGAGAGAAAGAACAGGATCTGGTACTTTAAACCTGATTTTTTTTTAAAGGAAGGATGTTGAACTTAGTGAGATTTCTCTAAATCCTGCCAGCTACTCTCCCACTAATCTAAGGGGATGAAGGTTTTCTAGAGTATTTTACAGGAAAAAATAAAGAATTAACCCAAAATGAGCACTAGGCTCACTCTCTCTCAGACTCCAGCTTCTCCAGCACCAATCAAATGATCATAATCTCCCTGCTGTGAGAGACAGGGATATTCTCCAAAATAACTGAAATATGTTTTCAGAAATTATTTCACAGAAAAAATAAGTGATGGACAAGTTCGCACATGTCTGGCTCAGTTGCTGCAGCATTCTCTTAGTTCAACAGCGCAATAAGTAAATCTGCATTGTTCCAAGCATATTCTTAATCAAATAGGAATCAAGGGGCGCCTGACTGGCTCCGTTGGTTAAGCGTCTGCCTTCAGCTCAGGTCATGATCTCAGGGTCCTGGGATCGAGTCTCACATCGGGTTCCCTGCTCAGTGGGGAGTCTGCTTCTCCCTCTGCCCTTCCCCGTTCATGCTTTCTCTCTCTCTCTCTCTCTCAAATAAATAATACAATTTTAAAAAAAGAACAAATAGGAATCAAGTCACGTGCCTTGTATGATTACTTAGGATGATAGGTAAATAAGATACAACATGGGCCTTTAATTCATTCAATTGTGTGCATATAGGTATTTACAGGCTGTAGGAATATGATGGTATACATGATAGATATTTTCCCTCCCTGGTTCCTGTCTATTGTTGAGAAACCTATGGCTACATATAAAAAACTGTGCCAGATTATAAACCATGTGATACAAGAGAAAGTCAGAGAACATTACTCGTGTAACAAATATTTATTTAATGGCTAACATGTGCAAGCCATTGTTCTCAATCCTGGAGATACTGTGGTGAACAATCTCTTGAAACTCACATTACTATTTATAAACTCACTTTTTAAAACTGGGATTTTCATTTGCAAAATACAGTCATTGCTTTTTATACTTGGCACAACAATTTGAGGAAAATCACCCCTATGAGCTTTACTTTATGGAATTACATGTACTAAAATTAATGGATGATATCTGACTGTGTAGCTGGTAATAAGAGATGAGTTTTCTGTTTCTAATTATTTTTTAAAATGGTATTACCATGTGAGGTAATAGGGAAAAGTGTGTGAATATATACTATGGCTTTTCAGATTTTATAACGGACATCCAGGGACCATGGTCAGGAGAGCAGGGTCCACCTCTCTGACCTATGGGTCTTACATGATTCTTTCTTGGTTCTTTGATTCTTCTGCTGCAACAAAGTCTACAAACAACCACTTTTATTTTAAAAGCTACGCCTGCCCATAAGCACTAGATTTCATTCTGGGTCAAATTATAATTTATCAATAAGCACTTCTCAGCACCCAGAAGCAGTTGACACATTATTTTTAATAAAGTATTGAGTATTTTAAAAGTATTTTAATAAAGTATTTTTAATAAAGTAATAAGGAAAATGTCTGGACAGAGTAAGAAAGATATTACATAGGAATTTTTACATAACTTTTTTTAACCTATTTTATTAACTAAATTAACTAAAATGTCAGCCAAATTGGCCATATTCTTAGTGTGGAAAGATTAGATACATATATGTGGCTAAAAATAGACTGGTCTTTAGGGCCATGATCTTTTCTTTGGCCACTAGCATCTGTTGCCATTTTCTGACATTATTGAGCAAGCATTAATTTGAGAATATGCTTCACGTTCAAGGTGTTTTTATTCTTTGTTTGAAAATGTTGATATGTCAACACTTTATGCATTCTAATTTAGGAAGCCCTTCTTGATTTTCCTGTCAGAAGGATAATTGTTCAGGACAGAATTTATTAAGTCATTTTATTGGGGTCAGAAGTGATATTCCAGGGGCTGAAGCAAAGAAATCTAACTAATGTGTTGCAACCTTTTTTCATGGTGTAGATCTCACAGAAAATGATATGTGTGCAGCACAGTGGGTTGAGGGAGAAGCTGCTCACAAGCCAGGATTCCAGCAGCCCAGGGTCCAACCCACCACCCCATAACCCTCTCGGCTCACTGTCACCCATCTGTGGTACACATTTGGCCACAGAATAGGGATCAGGGACTCTGAACAAAGGCAACTAGGTTTTAAATGATGCATATGTGAAATTGATCTTATTTTTTTAGAATTTCTTTTGCCACAGTGTTTAGAAATCTAAGCAGATACGTAGGCCTGATTCACCTAAAAAATATAACTTATTTTTTCTTATTCTAAAAATAATACACATCTACTATAGAAAATTAGTTTTGAAAAAGAAGGAAATTTAAATCATCCTGAATTATGCTACATATGTATTCATTCTTTACTTTTTGTTATATATTTTGCCAATTTTTTAATCCATCGTGATACATATTTTATTTATAAAGAGAACACAATGTAGACTGCTTTACAAAAATTCCTTTAAGATTTTCCTATCATTAAGTAAATGTTTTCTTTTTCAGCTCTTAATTATTACAATTATACCTTGACAAAATGCAGAATTTAATATATTTTCACATGTGCTATCAGAATTAACCACTAATATGATCAGTTGAAAAGGGATACTCCTTTTGTATAACCAGGAAATAAAGAAAATACCTGTGGTCAATCCACATAGTAATCAGATTTCAATTTTGAGAATTCTCATACATCTCATATCTTCTACAGACAATAGAAAAAGGGCCAAGTCAAAAGCTGAGAAATAGTAAGTGCTCAGCATCATCATCTTGAAATCTAATTAACAAATTAAAATGCATTGTATACACTCAGATTTTGGTATCAGGTTATTATGTAGAGGGAGCTTGAAGTACAGGCTTCATGCTGATAGGTTGCTCATCCTATCATATGCAAATGAGCAGATGATGAAATTTAAATATGCATGTGGAGCAGTTATTTGAGGACCTACTCACCTCAAATACAGATTGATTGATTTTTTCATTAATTTTGCATACCTCACATAGTAACTAGTATATTAACAAGCATCCATTTATAGCTTACCTTTAATGAACTGTGTACAATCTTTTAAATCAATAACAATTAAACCTTTCATCTCCACTTATTCATTCAATTCCATTCTAAATTAGTAATTCCTCTCTGTTACATTTTGGTTGTATCCTGGGTACAGATACTAAATCTCAATGGAATGACTGTATTTTTTATAAAACAAATAGCCCCAATTCTCAGTTTCCTGGCAACAACCCAGATTTGGACAGTATGTGAAGAGGCTCACAGTCAGTTGCCTCTCCTGCTCAGGTTGCTGGAAAGAATTGTGGGGCTAACAGGTATTAGGAAAGGAAGAAGAACGCTCTTCAGGATAACTGGGTCCTGCACTCAAAAGACTCATGGATGGAATCTCTCTCTTAGGATTCCCTTAGAAATGGTTTGAAATAAACCACCAGAAGTAAAAATCCAGTCATTCAGTGTGATGCCTCACTCTGAATCTTCATACATTGTGCTTTGTGTATCACTAGATTAAAATTGTATTTG